TCAAATAAAGGCATAAAAGCTGAAAAAAATATACTTTAAAAAAAAAAAAGTTTAGAGGGTAAATGTGTCTTTTGTGGAACTGACAAAGGGCCCCAGCTAGACAATGCTGCTTTATGCCAGGTCATAAGCCTTAAACATTGGAAACCACTAATCTTACACAGTACATTGTGTTTCATAAACTTATACATTTGTAAAATATTAATCTGAAAAGTAACTGCAAATTTTAGATAAATGCAGAAGAGTAAAATGATGATGCTATTTTCCTCTAAACTGTAGTGGAGTAGAAGTATAAAGTAGCATTAAATGGAAAGTAAAGTACAACTTCTACAACATTACACTTACGTACAGTACTTCATTATTTTCCACCACTGTATAAAACTGTTTGGGTATTTTACCAGATAGTGTAGGCCTGCAGAAAAGAAGACTAACTTCCTCGAATATATAAAGTTTGTTAACAGACACAGAGGTACAGGATGAGGTCACAAGGGTACAGGATGAGGCCACAGAGGTGTGAGCGTTTGTTGTTCTGAGAGATTTTGGACTTTGCCTTTAACTTGCTTATAAGATGTAAATCCTTCTTCTGTTGTCTGTTGGGGGTTCATTAGAGCGCCACAGTAGCATTTAGTTGTCATTGATGACCTTTATGTGTTTTGCCCTGAGCTTCTTTTCCCTTGCCTTTTGACGTATTTGGTGATGGAGGTGTTTGTGTGTGAGTGTGTGTGAGTGTGTGAATGTGTGAGTGTCAGTCTATTTGTCTGCTCCATGCAGTAGTGGGTGTATAGATCTGTACATAGCCTTATAATACATACATACACAACATAAACACAAGATAGACATCCAAAACAGGACATTTATGCATAAAACGGCCACCAAGGTATTTGTTCAGTAATATTATGGCTAAAGGGACAAAACTTCTGCCATCGCGAACCCGTTTCCAGGCCAGTGATCTGTATCTGTATCTGTATGATTTGTGATGCATAGTGTTTCCACACATAGAGATAAAATGGGAAAAAGGCAGGGAGTTGTTTACACATTTAGATCACTATTATAGGTGAGTTAAGCTGACAGAACATCCGGACTGCATACTAAATGTTTCTCAAACTGTATCGATCAATAAAGGTAACGCTGCAACTGATTTGAATAACAGTCTTGCCGTGGGGGTTGAAAGAAGTTTATGGAAACTCTCCAGTCTTTTAAACCCAAATAAGAATAAGTATATTGTACTATAATGCCAAAGATTAGTGGGACTGAACTTGATCACTATCCAAAGATATTTTTGGACACAATGGAGGTGGTTTAGTTTGTTAACACATGGACAACCTATATGGAGTTTCTGTCATGCAAGTGATAACAGTATATTTGGTGTTATACAATGTACATTAAATAGTAAATAGTATTTCAGTTTGTCCTTACATATAGCACAAGACAAGCTTTTGAGAGATAAGAAGAACTTAATTACTTAATGTCTGTTGTAATGTGGGTATGTCCTAATCTTTCTAAAATCCTTCCTTTTATTGGACGGTTAAGGTTCTTGTTCTCCAGTCAGATATGTTACCTGGTCACAACCGAAACATTTGTGATTCCTGACCAGCTTTTGGTTCGTAGCATATCCATGGAAGATCAACAGATTAAAGGAAAAACCAACATAATGTGACTTAGTGTAGTGTTGTGCCACTGGTAACCTCCAGAACAGCTTAAATGTCCCTTTGCATAGATTCTCCAAGTCTCTGAACTCTACTAGAGTCCAAATCTCCTTTAAGAGGTTAGGGTTGAGATCTGTGAGGGCAATATGATCCACATCAGTTTCCATTCAGCCTCTCCTTGTGTCCTGTATTCTGTTTTATTTAGGTTTTTCTTTTTATTGGTTACCTGTTTATCCTATCCCACTTTTTAACTTCACTTCTCTCACTGTGGCTTTTCCATTCACAGTTTATGAAATCAGATTCAAACAAGATATCACAACTCACCTATTTTTATTATTCTTTTTATTCATTTCGGCCTTATTCTTACATAACTAAAGCTAGAGGGGTGATCAAGTGTTTACCTATCCAGGCCCCAGAGGTGTGAACTCACATGACTTGGACCTGAATTAGACTCAAGTCAGCTTAGACTTTTATTGACACGATCAAAAAAGACTTGCAACAGAACCTACATCAGTAACTTTTGACGTTATATCCTCCCCAAGACTAAATATTAAAATGTATGTTATAAAACAGCCCATAAGTAAAAAAAAAAAAAAAAAAACTCCATATCACATAAAACATGGGTTTTAGCTTCTTTTTTTTAACAAACTGATTCACTAAAGGATTCAAAACCAGATTTAGATTTGATAAAATACTGAAACCCAACCATAGTCACAGAAATAATATACCAAAGTGCACCGGATTATTTTGCTTTTAAACGCTATAAAAGTTATTTAAAAGTAATAAATGAGAACAGTTAAAAAAAGACTCCATTGTTTCTGTAAATTGACTTTATCACTTATTATTCAGTTTTTAAAAATTGGGGCAAAGAGAGCGTAATGACATTTGAGCTTAAAACACAAAGTTTAGGACTTGTGGTCCTGACTTGGGACTTGACACAGGTTGTAACAGCCATACACTTGAGACTTAAACAAACCCTTTCTCCCACCTCTACAACACTTTCACTGACAAGGTTTGGTAAATAAAAAAAAACCTTTATGTGATGGAATTTACTGTTTTTTTGGTTGTTTTTTTTTACTGATTATGGATCATTTTCATAACTTAACTTACAGGTTTTCAGTGTAATTGGTTAATGCCTTTTTGGGTGGGTATGGTGATAATCATTTTGCTTCAAAGAGGGCGCCTCTCCCCTTCTGTACCTCTGCTTCATGA